GAGGATGATCATGATGATGATGAGATGGTGATGATGGTGATGATGATGATGAGGATGAAGATGCTGATGCTGCTGATGATGATGACGATGCTGATGATGATGGTGATGATGCTGCTGCTGATGATGATGAAGCTGAGGATGATGATGATTATGATGATGAAGCTGATGATGATGATGATGATGATGATGATGATGATGATGATGATGATGCTGCTGCTGATGCTGCTGCTGATGATGATGATGATGATGTTGCTGCTGATGCAGATGCTGATGATGCTGCTGCTGATGCTGATGCTGATGCTGCTGATGATGATACTAATGATGATAATGCTGCTGCTGATGATGATGAAGCTGATGATGATGATGATGATGATGATGGTGATGATGATGATGATGATGATGATGATGGCGATGATGATGATGATGATGCTGATGATGATGATGATGATGATGATGATGATGATGGTGGTGATGATGATGTTGCTGCTGATGATGATGCTGCTGCTGATGACGACGACGACGATGATGATGATGATGATGATGATGATGATGATGATGATGATGATGATGATGATGATGATGATGATGATGATGGTGATGGTGATGTTGATGATTGATGATGATGGTGATGATGATGATGCTGATGATGATGATGCTGATGGTGATGATGATGATGATGATGATGATGATGATGATGATGATGATGATGATGATGGTGTCTGGTGGTGGTGTAGTGTGGTGGTGGTGGTGATGATGATGATGATGATGATGATGATGATCATGATGCTGATGATGATGAATGATGATGATGATGATGATGATGATGATGATGATGATGGATGATGATGATCTCGATGAGGATGATGATGATGATGATGATGAATTGATGAGATGATGATGATATGATGATGATGATGATGATGATGATGATGATGATGACGAGGAGCAGTAGGGGAGGAGGAGGAGGAGGAGGAGGAGGAAGAATAAGGGAGTAGATGGAGGGAAGGAGGGAAGGAAGGAGGAGGCGGAAAGAACTGAGGAGGAGGAGGAGGAGGATGAGGTGGATGGGTGGGCCGCACTCTAGCTGGGGAGGCCTCGCGGCCGCGCGCCCCCCCCACCAACCCCGCCAAGCAGGAGGGAGAGTCCTCGGGTGACTCCGAGGCCGAGTGGAAGAGCGCTGGGGGCGCCAGTCCCTCGAGGAGCGCCTGCTTCCCCTCCGCAGTTGAGAACCTAGAACTGCTATGCTCTCCCTGTGCACGCAGCTACTCTCTCTCTTTTTTCAATTGCGCATAGCACGAAGTGGTCTTTCTGTGCGAGTCGCAGGTCGTCTATGACACGTGCCCGTGGACAGAGGATCATCAGCGCTACGGGAAGGGATGGGAAGGAGGGATAAGATATCAGATGAGGCGCGATCGCACCTAGCTTGTCACATTCCCCTCTCCTTCTTCTTCCTTCCACGGCACGACCAGAAACCGAAGCCGATCTCCTCCTGGTCGGGGAACTCCGTTTCACTCGGTCTCACCACCTAATCTCCGATGTCTATGACGTTTGTTTGTTCTCCCAGAAGAGAGGGAGACGACCCGAAAGTTGCGCTATTGTCCTGCCCAGGGCCTATTTCGATCTGATCGATCCCCGACCACATTCTATTCCGGTATTCCGACGATATGTTGGGGCCCGACGCTTGCATGGCGCTGCTTTGTATCCTGGCGCACTCGATGCGGTTCGATCTCGACTCCGTGCCTAGCGGCCCGATCCGGTCGACGCACGTTCCGATCCGATCGGTTTTCACGATTCGAGGCTGACTGATCCTGCCTGCCCCCAAGGGGTATACGGCATCGGCTGCATGCAGCTGGTTTCGGCCCTTCCGCTGGGCGCCCTCTTCGATACATGCGCGCCTCTGGCGCCAGGAGGCGCCGGAGAAATCAGCTGCCTGAGCTGATCTGCTGCTCTCCCCTTTGCTGTCCTCCCCTTCGCCCGAACCGACTCGTGCTTGTCCTGTTCCTTCGGGGACCGGGTGTCGAGATTCGAGGATCGGGGTTCGAGGGTCGTTCGGGGAATCCCTCCTCCTCCTCCTCCCAGGCCTCTGGTCCCAACTAGGAGGTCAAGGCGCCCGTAATCCATATGACTTCAAGCCTCCTCCTCCTCCTCCTCCTCCTCCTCCTCCTCCTCCTCCCCCTCCTCCTCCTCCTCCTCCTCCTCCTCCTCTTCTTCCTGCTCCCCCTCCCTCCTCCTCCTCCTCCTCCTCCTCTCCTCCTCCCCCTCCTCCTCCTCCTCCTCCTCCTCGTCCTCCTCCTCCTCCTCCTCTTCCTCCTCCTCCTCCTCCGCTTCCCCCTCCCCCTCCCCCTCCCCCTCCCCCTCCTCTGTGTCCGAACCGAAGAGCTGGCTCGCCATTCTCTCGCAGCTCCCCCAGGAGGTCCACGGCCGCGCCCTCCCGCCACTCCACGGGCACGCTGCCCCCGCCGGGCGTGCACCTCGCGGCGGAGGGCTGGCCCCCGGTGGCCCTCGCCGACGCCCGCCCGGGGGCCCCTGGAGACCAGGCCTGCGCCCTCCGCCCTCCTCTATCCTCGGACCTGCCTCCTCCCTCCGCCCTCCTCCCTCGTACCTACCTCCCTCGGACCTACCTCCCTCGGACCTGCCTCCTCCCTCTGCCCTCCTCCACTCTCCTGCTTCCTCTTCCTCCGCCCTCCTCCGACCTGTTCCTTGAGTTTCAGGCCAGTCCATGCTCCATGCTCAGTGCTCCCCCTCCTCCCTCCTTCCACTCTTCCTCCTTCTTCCCCTTCTCTTCTGGGACTCGTGAAGGGTAGGAGAGGGCGGATCATGGGGATGCGAAGATGGAGGAGGAGGAGGAGGAGGAGGAGGAGGAGGAGGAGGAGGAGGACCAGTGTAAACCCAAGAGTCATCAAAAATGTTGGAATTACCCCTCCCTCCAAGCTCCCTCTTCATAGGCCCCTACAACTGTTCCTTTCCATTGAGGGAACTGCCTCCTTGGAAGACAACCGTTTGAAGACCTTGAAGCATGCCAAAACATTGTTCTCTGGATATCAGCGCCACGGACAAACCTGACTGCTGCGTCTTGACGATCCGGAATCGTGATATAACGCCATTTGGGATTCCAACACCGCGGACCAACATAATTGTTGCACCCGCATAATCCTGAATACTTCCAAACACCATTTCTGGTACGTGGGTCATGGGAATCCGTGAAACGCTGCCAGATTGCTGAAACGAGTGTGCGCGGCGCTAAGGCGAGAGCCACATTGTGGAATGAGCCGCCCTCAATCCGTGAAGCTCTTGCAAGCTTTTACAACGAATGTGCTCGGCGCTTCAGCGAGAACAACATTTTGAACACGATCCGCCCTCAATCCGTGAAGCTCTTGCAAATGTTTAAAGCGAATGTGCGTGGCGCCAAGGCGAGAGCCACATTTTGAAAACCACCCGCCCTCAATCCGTGAAGCTCTTGCATGTTTTACAACGATTGTGTGGGGCGCTGAGGCGAGAACAACATTCCCGCCCGCCATCCGTGAAGCTCTTGCATTGTTCACGATGACTGTGCGCGGCGCTGAGGCGAGAACAACATGTTGAAAACGACCCGCCCTCAATCCGTGAAGCTTTTGCAACCTGTTGAAACGAATGTGCGCGGCGCTGAAACCAAAGCCACATTTTGCAAAGCACCCGCCCTCCATCTGTTAAACTGTTGCCACTTGTTAAGCTTCAGAGTCAGACATGGTGAGGAAGTCTCAGGCGAAGCGCCCGGCCCGCCAAACAAATTGGTTTCAGGGTGCGACAGGGAGAATTTATGTAAAAGGAAAAGGAATGAAGGAGGAGGAGGAGGAGGAGGTGGAGGAGGAGGAGGAGGAGGAGGAGGAGGATCTTGGACCTTGAATCGAGGTGTATGTGTTGTTGGTTCTTTTGCCGTGAGATGCTTCCAGCGCCTCCCAGTGACCTCCAGAGGACCTGGACATCACCTCCAGAAACCTCCAGGAACCCCCAGGTACCTCGAGAGACCCCTCGGTCCAGGAGGAACCCAGACGTCTGGTGGCGTTTGGGTTACTTGCTTGCCCCTCCCCCTGGGCCCCCCATGGCGGTTCCGCTTCCTCCTCCTCGAGGCTGTGCTGGGTAATCGCGTGGGTGCATCCTCTCTAATCTAGTTTCTGCGGTCGATTGTGCTCGTCTCGTCTCACCCGCCGCTCCCGTCCGTCCCACTGCTTGGCTCGGCGCGTCGTCTCGTGTGCTCGCGGCTCCCTGCTGCTGCGCCCGCTCCTCCTTGCTCCTCCTTGCTCCTCCTGCTCCTCCAGCTCCTCGTTCCTGCTCGCCCCGCTCCCCCCCCTCCGCTTGCCCCTCCTGCTCCTGCGGCTCCCTCCTCCTTCTCCTCCTCCTCCTCCTCCTCTTCCTCCTCCTCCTCCTCCTCCTCCTCCCTCCTCCTCCTCCTGCTCCCCTTCCTCCTCCTCCTCCTCCTCCTCCTCCTTCTCCTCCTCCTCCCTCCTCCTCCTCCTGCTACTGTCCTTTCAGGAGAGAAAACGTATAAACAATCGACGCTTCCCAGGAAGACATGGACAACATGGGAAGCGGTGGTGAAGACGAACACCCAGAACAATATGTAACAACATGTGGGGAATCCGGGGATGTGTGTGTCTATTCATTTGTGTGCCCCTGCGCCTCCTCATCCTCCTTCTGTGGCTTGTCCTTCTACGTACCTGCTGCTCTTCCGCTTTCCTCCTTTTCTTAGGCAAGCCGCTGGGCGAATGCGAGCGCTCGTGGCGTCATCGCTTCCCTGCTCCTCCTCCTCATCATCATCCTTCCTCCTCCTCCTCCTCCTCCTCCTCTTCCTCCTCCTCCTCCTCCTCCTCCTCCTCCTCCTCATCATCATCATCATCATCATCATCATCATCATCATCATCATCATCATCATCATCATCATCATCATCATCATCATCATCATCCTTTCTGCCTCTTCCGCGCCCAGCAGCGAGGCCACGGCCGCCGAGGGCCGCCAGCCCCAGGAGTGGCGCACCACGGTGCTCGTGCGCAACCTGCCGTGCTACTACACGCAGGCCAGCTTCACAGAGCTCATCGACGGCCTCGGGCTTGCCGGGCAGTACGACTTCGTGTACGCGCCGATAGACTTCAAGAGCAAGCGCAGCATGGGCTACGCGTTTGTCAATCCGCTGGCGCCTCCGCGCACAGCCGCCGCCGCGCCCTGGGGAAGCTGTGCAGCAGCGCTGAAGTATGAACGGCCGTCGCGCTGCACGCTTGTTGCGGCACGTCTTGGAGGGCCCCCTCCACGCCTCGGGCGGTCCACGGTGTGGAACTCCGGCTTCGCGTGCCGCTCCGCCGGTTCTGGCCAGCCACGCGTCGGCGCGGCACGCTGTCCACGTTCCCATTCCCAGGCGTCAGCGCCCGAGCTTTTCCCACCCCTCCGCACCGTGGAGCGGAGCGACACGCCATCCGCTTGCAAGGCATAGCGTGTGACCAGGGCCGCCGCCGCGACAGGCTAAGCAACACATCCCGACCGTATGTGGCCCTGGGCCAATGGCCCCCCAGCTTTTCGCATCATTTTGGAGCCCCCAGTGCCCTCTAGGCCTCGTGAGGGGTGCTCTGGATGCCGTGGGGGCCATGGGGGCATCTCTGGCAGCATCCGACTCTTCGGGGTCCCTTGTTTGTGGGATGTCTTGGGGCTACTTTGGAGGGACCTTGGGACCACAGTGTGTGCTGGTGGGCCCGTCTTTGGGTGGTCTTCGATCTTGGAGCTTTTTTGTGTGGTTCTTGGACCGTCTCGTGGGGCCTAGCGGCTCACAGCACGTCCAGAGGCCTATCGGATGCAATTCTGGCCTTCAAGGCGAGATGCCAAAGACATGCAAAGAGAAATGACCCCAGAAGGGCCCCAACTTTGATGCTGTGTTCGGAGTGTGAACTGCGCCGTTGACATGCTCGACGTGATGGCAAGCAGCTGGAATCATTATGGCGATGCGTCTTACTGGGCAATTGGGCTAGTCCTGAGATGTGACCATACGGACGCCGCCTGGAGCGATTTGGTCGCATCCTGTGGCTCAGGATCGCGCACGCTTGTGGGGTTCTGGCAACACGAAGCCCACCTGGCGCGATAGCGTTGCATCCTGTGGCTCAGAGTTTCATGTGGGAGTGGAGTTCTGGCATCACGGAACCTGTTGGGAGTGGAAGTGTTGCGTCTTATGATTTAGAACGGTGTCTACGAGTGTATTGACAGCAAGCACGAAGGCCTCAGGGAGCGGTGAAGGTTGCAACTTGTGATTCAGAATATCACCTGGGAGTTGATTTGTGGCAACACGAATGCCGCCTGCCACGATAGGCTTGCATCTTGTCACTGAGCATCGCGCCTGGGGTGGACTGCTTGGAACACGGAAGCTCTCAATCGCGAGAGGGTTGTGGTCAGACCATGGGACCAAACAGACCAGGGGACCGTAGGACTCGCGATGAGTACGCAGCCCAAGATGCCTTTCCAAATACTGTACGAACCATGCGTTGCGAACTAGTTGTGCACGCTTTGCTGAGGACAGGGGCTTAGTTGCTTTGCTCTCGGGGGGCCTGTTGGAGGCCTCCTCGTGGGGCCTCCATGTGGATTCGTGGGGCATGTCTCTGGTGTCGTTGGGCTGCCTTGAAAGGTTCTGGTGTCATCAGATGATGTTTTTGTGGTGGTCCTCGGACAGGCAGGTTCGACTATGGGGCCAAATCTGGGCCATCGGGACGCGCTTTGGACAGGTCTGATTCTGAGATGGTGAGCCTGAAACCTTATGAGGTCGTCCAAGGAATAGGCCTGGGACTCTACTGCTAGGCCTGGGACCCTGCTCCTAGACTCAAGTAGCAGGAGCAACACAGGCAAGCATGTTGCTCTTGATGTGGTGTGGGGGGAGCTTCGAGTCACTGCTCCGAGCGGAGGAATACACAAGCAAGCAAGGAACCTGACTCACGCACGCACACACACACACACTCACACGCACTAGCACCCAAATGCAGAAACACACCAACGCGGCAAAGCGTGGTGGCGGACTTCCGCAGTGTTGCCACCACGCTCTTCTTCAAAGCGGCCATGGACGGCTTCTCGCGGTGGCCAATCCGCAGCCAGAAGGTCTGCTCGGTCGTCTGGAGCCAGACCCAGGGACTGGACGCCAACATCGACGTCGTGCGCAGGAGCGACATGATGAAGAAGAACGCTGCTGCCCCAGAGGAGTTCAAGCCCCTCGTGCTGGTGCAAGGCAAGCTGCAGCCCCTGTCCGGCCTCGTCGCGGAGGGGGGCCGCGGCCACCGTGCGGCACGCGGTGGCGGCCGCAAGAACTGAGCGGTGGGGCTTCTGGGCTCGTGGAGAGCTGCGGCACGCTCGTCCGAGGCGGGGATCCACTCGCATCCACCGCCCGGGGGATCGATCCTCGCGGACTTCGCAGGCGGTGGGTACGGATATGTTCGGGCTCTCGGGGGCCCAAATATATCCACATACCCACAGCCCGCTGGGGCACCAGGACGTCGGTTCCCAGGCGGTGGATATGGACAAATTCCCGCCTCGCAGTTCGCGCCGCGCAGGCGAGGCGGCGTCGCTGGCGCGGGCGCTCAAGATGAGGCGTTACCAGCGGCTTGAGCCAGGCCAACCTTGAATGAACATCCACCGTCGGACAGCGGAGGATGCTCAAGATTGCTCGGTGCACGGGGTGTCAGGAGCCAACGCCCGCGTTGACACGACCAGAGCCGGGCGCAGCTGAAGGTTCGGGCCAGTTGCCAAGGAGCGGACATTCGATTTTGGTCGCGCTTGGCCGCCTGCTTGTGGGCGTCCGCTCGCCAGCAAGTAGCCCGTTTCTACCTCCATGGAGTTCCAGCCATGGACGTGGGTGAACAAAATATTGTCGCTAGCTTGGGAGTTCTCCGAGTGCGACGCCGTGTGTTGTTTCAGTGCTGGTATGCTCAGGCCCATCAGGCTGAGAAAGGGGCGTACACAGCTTACACACGATTCCGGCTCCGACCCAACTCGTGAAATCCGTGTGCGGCATTCGCTTTCGAATGGTCGACGTTCGCCATAGCCGCCGCACCCGGCAGATAGTCGCAGTCTATCCTCGTCTGGCGATGGCCACGAGGAAGGTACGTCAACCTGCATTATGCCGTTTGGTGCTGAATTGCATCGACTGGCTTGGAGGAGCAGAGGTTAGGGAGGATGATCATCGCCGTTTGGCTTTCAGGGGAGAGGCGAGACATTGGGGCACAGGAGCTACTACAATCAAGATCCTACAGACGGTACGGAACAACCCATTACAGGCGATATGTTGTACTGGACAACACGAAACAGCAACGCTCGTGCACTTCGCAGCCTGCAGTCATTACAGGGGTGCTGGCGCACCATCCGCTCGCACAGCGTAGGGCTTGAGGCTTGTTAAGCCTATCACGGTTTTAAGGGTGGTGCGCTCTAAGCTCAGCAACGCGTCACATTTTTTTGCGGCATTGTCGTGCCCAGTCATTGTCGTCCTCGCCCGTTTTTCCCGCTCCGCCGTGCCGAGACGCCCTGCGAGCGCGAACTCGCCTTCTCTGTCCAGAGACTGGGGGTGTTCTTTCCAAGTTCCGAGCGAGCCAGTACGGTCCCTCTACAGTGCAGGGCCGTAGGCATGTGAAGAAGGGTCGGTCAGATCCGCGGGAACATGCGTTTATGCCCGTTCTCCGCCCAGGTCCAGGAGGGCAGCACGGGTTCAGGCAGGGCGCATTCTCTTTCCCTGAAGTGGCCTCCCAGTCTTGCCAATTACTTGGGGACGCCATCTATGCACCGATCCTGGCCAGGCCGATCCTGCGCCCAGGATCGGCGTGTATGCCTTCCTGGTCAAGCCAGGGGAGCTTACACCAATCCTCGGGCCGTGAGGAGCCTGGCAAGGATCGGTGCGGGTGTACAGTTGGCGTCCTCCTAAGTTCGCTTATTGTCAGATCCAGTCAAAACGAGTCCCTGCGCAGCAGGGCGTTACTGGGCAGGCAGCCACGCTGTTCAGGCGGGGCTCGCGATTGGTCGTTCTCCGTGGCGCCAGGAGGACTAGGAGGATTAGCATCTAGTCGCTTCCTATCTGTTTGAGCACTGGCCCTGCACAAATTTATGCAGGGCGGTGCTGTCAACGAACTACTTCGCTGCAGCTATCGACACGCTTGAGTCGCCCTGGCTGCTGCTCCCCTCGGACTGGGGCCAATGCTCCAGATACCAAGTTACCACAACTCCGGGAGGAGGAGGAGGAGGAGATCAGGCGGCAGGATGAGGAGGAGCATGAGGAGAAAGGGGAAGATAGGGGATATCGGCTTAGAGGGAGAGTTCATTGAGGAGGAGGAGGAGGAGAAGAAGGAGGATGAGGAGGAGCAGGATGGATGTGAGAACAGACTGCAGCAGGAAAAGGACAACTGTAATCAGGAGCAAGAGGCAGGAGTAGGAGGAGGATGTGGAGGATGATGAGCAGTACAATGAGGAGCAGGAGGGATGACGAGGAGAGCAGGAGCAGCAGGATGAGGACGCACAGGAGGGGAAGGATGATACCCATCTTGAACCCAGGCGGCGCTGCCAGTCTTTGTTCCGCGATCATGCCCCCGATCTTGGATGGCGCATGTGCGAGTGCACTGGCGGGTGTGGAGAGAAGTGGAACCTTGGAGTGCCAGCCGTCTTGGCTGACAGAGATTGGTGAGGTTGATCGCCAGTCGCATGCTCGACGGTGCATGGGCGGCGGGTTCCGTCGCCATGCTCCTTCTAGTTATTCCAGGCCGCCCAGGCGGGGCGGGAGCACCTGGGGTTGGAGGATCGCGCCGCACCGCCGATGCATCTGCGATGCGGCGTGCTCTCCCGATTTTCTCTACTGGCGTCGCCGACGCACCGCCCCGATGTGCCATCGATGCAGTGCGATCCTCCGACCCCGTCTGCTGTGGCCCCGTCTGGGTGGCCTCCAAGTTGACTACCTACCAGACGACCCCAACCCAACCCGAAGACCCGAATTTGAGCCGAATTTCAGGTTGGGGGGGGTACGGGTTCCATGTGTTTTTTCAACGCTCCCCGACCCCCGGGTTGGGTTGGGGTGGTTTGGTGGGTGGCCTCCAAGTGGGCTTCGTGAGCTGAAGTCGTTCGCCGCCCTCCGCGTCGGCCTCGGCGCCCCGGATCTCTGGCCATGCGGATCGCGGGAGCGGGCCTCTCCTCTGACTGCAGAATGCCGGCCTCTCTTCCGCTGGCCCTCGCCCCCTCTCTGCACGAACGGGATGGGCACGGAAAGAATGGGTACAATGCTCAACAGCAGTTCCTGTTCATCTTGAACAGGATTCGCTGTCCGCGCCGCCGCGGCCTGTGTCCATTCGAGACAGAAGGCCGCCTGGCCAACAGCGGCCGATGTTGGTTTGGGACAACATTTGTTGTTGGGCGTTGTGCCCATACTTTCCGTACCCATTTCGGGCGTCCAAATCGTTTTTCCGCCGCGGCACCTCTCCGCGCCGGGGTGGCAGCGCGGGTTCGTCGAGTGTCCCGGTCTCTGCTGCAGGCGCCGCTCACCGCTCCCCCCAGACCCCTGACGTGATGATTTTTTCCCAACGTCGACCCTCAGAGGTCTCGACCCATTCCCCTGGTCTGGACCAGTTTTCCGTCCCGAGTCCTTCTTTGACGCCCCCGAGGCCCAGGAAGGGCCCCTGGGGGCCCGAACACGGCGAATTACCCCCCGCCACGATTTTTCCCCCTGCCCGAGGGGGTCTGGGCTCCCTGCGCGGGCGAGCTCTCCCGGCCGCCCCCCCGGCCGCCGCGCCGCCCGCCGGCCGGGCCCTGCGCCAGCCACGGCCGTGCCGTTCTGTGGCCGCGGGCGGGCGGCGCGGGCCGAGTGGCGCACGCCCGGTGGCCCCGGCCGGCGGCCTGCGCGCCCAGCGGCCGCCCGCGGCGCTGGCCTCGTGCAGAGCTCCGCGGCGCTTCCCCGGGGGCCCAGCCGCCGGGGGCACTACTCCTCCTCCTCCTCCTCTTCCTCCTCCTCCTCCCTCCTCCTCCTCCCTCCTCCTCCTCCTCCTCCCCCTCCCTCCTCCTCCTCCTCCTCCTCCTCCTCCTCCTCCTCCTCCTCCTCCTCCTCCTCCTCCTCCTCCTCCTCCTCCCCCTCCTCCTCCTCCCTCCTCCTCCTCCTCCTCCTCCTCCTCCTCCTCCTCCTCCCTCCTCCGTGTCGCGGGAGAACGGCCCTGCGGGCGGGAAGCCGGCCCCCGGGGACGGCGCCGGGAGCTCCGAGGCTCGGGGGGCCCCGCGTTTCCAGCAGCGTCGGGGCGTCCTGGCTCGTCTGTAGGCCCACCAGAGAATGTTCTAGGAGCCTTTTGTGTGGTCTGCACGAAGGGTTCTCGGGACGTGTCTGGCTGAGACTGGCTTGTTTCAACACATCGGGCTTCTGTTCTAAGAACATTGTCTCTGTTCTTGGAACACGATTGGGTCTTAAGAGCAATTCGTGGTAGGCCTATAGGAATGCCGGGACAATCGGTCCCTGCTCAAGTGCTGGTGAACAGAACCCGCGTCATCGGAGGTTCGGGTTCGCCCGAGCGGCGCAGGAACAAACGGGGTTCCACCGCGCGGGCTGTCGCGCGCAGGCTGCCCGCGTAAGCTCGCGTGATCGAGAGCTCTCTTCGTGCTTTCCACGTGGCGTGCGGTGTTGGCGGCCTGTGTGAACCTTCGCGTAGGGTCGCCGCATCCTCGTGGGACCCTCTTTATTTTAAGTGTAAGTCGGGCACGTCCCTCTACAGGATGAATATCCAAAAATAGCAAACAAATAGTCTGGGGACGATTTGTTGAGTATGTTTGTTTGTTTGCATTTTTTTTTTTTTTTTTTTTTTTTTTTTAAATTTATTTTCCTCCAGAATCTGCCTGTAAGGGGACATGCCCGACCTAATTCTAAGTCGCTGGACTGGGAGGGCCCCCCGCCGATCTTCAAACCTAGTACGCCTCAGCCCTGAGAGGTGCTCGCCAGACTTCAAGCCGTGCGAGGATGGGCATCCGTAGACGTTCCGGCAGCACTCTGGAGGGAAAGATCTCGGCTCTTCCTGCCCTTCCACCCTCTTCTCGGCGGCGAGCGATGGGGTTGGGGAGTGAGAAGGGGCGGGCCTTCTCGGAAGGCTCGGAAGTCCCCTGGCATTTCGAGAAGTTTTCTAAGCCTTCCCCGAAGACACGGGGCAACTTTCCGGAAGGCGCGAGGGCTTCTGAGAAGTCCCGACGCCTTCTGAGAAGGCTTTCTCCTTCTCACTTCCCCCCGCTCGCCGCCGATCGCTCTCCTCTTCCTCCGTCACCCTC